CGGAGCAGGGAGCCTGATGCGGGGCTCGATCCCAGGACCCTGGGATCATGACCTGAGCCGAAGGCAGACGCTTAACGACTGAGCCACTCAGGCGCCCCTGAAGTGAGATCCTTGATGAAGTTTCATTTTTAGTTCCTTACTGCTGTTTAACAGCAATGATGCAATAAATTTAGAAAGATTCAGTTTTAAAAGAAAATACATAACTTTTTGTCAATTTAAACTACCATAGTTTACTGGATATTAAATAATGACATTAACTACTGGTATATTCTCTCTTTCTCTTTTTTTTTTTTTTGTTGCTTCACATTTCAGTTTAGTTCAAGTTTCTGCTTTTGAGAAAGCTATTCTGAGAAGACTTCTGAAAGGAAATGCAAAGATTTTATGAACCTAAACACTGTACAGAAATAGTCACTAAAAATAAGTAAGGACATAAGGAAAATAGTGTACTTGATTCTGTATTTGAAAACTGATCTAAAATGAGGTTCTAGAGCCTTGCCTGGCTATGAACCTCAAAACCTGGCTCATTTATAAAAATACCTGAGTTGATTTTGCCCAAGTAAAGTGAGGACAAGTGAAGTGAGCAGAAGAAATAGGTCTCCATCCCCATGAAGCAGCAGAAAGGATCAGGGCCCAGGCAGCCTATCAGGGACCCATGTACCTGACCAGGGCCCTTGTGCAGAAGGGGGAAGCCCCAGCAAAAAGAGCCCAAATGTCCAGCCTGTGAAAAGAGGCTGTTTGCACAGCAGACTTCCACATAAAGGCCACTGCATCCCTGGCAGCAATGCAGCAAAATCTGCATCCCTCCATGACTCTTTTGTGCAGGGCAGGGTATGGCATGGAAAAGTTAACAAGGCGGAAACAGCCGTCCCAAAGCTGTACTGGGTGTTAATCAAAAGCCACCTCCCAAATAGCAGGAAGGCTTATATCAAGGACCAAATTAATTTGCCCCCAAGGCCCTGTTTTTACCTTGATTTAGCAGTTCTCACTAATGGCAATCTGTTGTCTTCATCCCATACAAGGCCCCAAGCTTGGGGTTCTGCTGCTCCTACGGGCTTGCCTTTGGTAGCCCCTCAAGGAGAAAAGCTCCCCAGGAAGGAGATAGATAGAGCTTTATTTTTATCCCAGTTAAAGTCTCTATCCAATACATTAATCGCTACGATAACCTTGGTCCAGGGCATTTCCTGGAGAAGCTATAACCAGCTGGGGTTAATGAACTCTCCCTACCATTAATTCCTAGGAGAGGCCATTGGCCTGAATTGTTACTTAATTACTCTTCTGTGTACAGCTTCATAAAGCAATGAAATGCCTTCTTTCAGGAAGAAGGGAGATGGTAATGGGGGTCATCAGAGGCCATTAATTTTACAAATAGTTTGTTAGAAACTACAGTATGTTAAGAAGTCACTCTGGCCCACAAATCAACTCAATGCAGTCCTTATTAAGTCAAGATCTGAAACTTCCAGGTTTCCATGATGTGCACATGCAAAAAGTTACAAATTGTGCAGAATCTGGCCAAAATGTACATACCAGATAAGATAAATTTACTCATTTATTTTGTTGCTTGTGTTACCCCTTCCCATCCCTCTGACATACACACCCTAGAATGTAAACTCCATAAAGGCAGGGGCTTTGGGCTATTTTGTTCACTATGTCTCCCTAGTACTTAGAACAGTGCCTGGCAAAAATAGGTGCTCCTACAAAGTTTCAGTGTTTGTTGAATGAATGAGTAGTTAGTTGGCTACTTTATGGGATTGGGCTGCTGGTGTTAGGACCCAGAGCTCCCACATAAGTCATACTTGGGCAGGGAAAGTGCTCAATCTGCCAGAGAAATAAAGACAGAGACTATCCCTTCAAACTGCCTAGAAATCAGATCCACTGAAACTACCACCACCAAAGGGAAGAGTTGGCCATGAAACATGTATCCATCTAGGCTCTGAACTTGGCACAAATGATGAGAAACCATTGCCACCCACCCTACTGTGACATACTGCCCCACCCAACCTATGTCAATAGCAGACTCATGACCAGATGGAAGGTTCTGAGATTCTATTGGATGGTTCCAGTGGGGAAAGATTAAACTTTTCAGAAGCTAACAGACTAGGGCAGAATCAAGACATCAGAAGGGAGGTAGAGTTTATTGGAGAAAAGGAGGCAACTAAGTATCAGAATAAGCCAAATTATTTACTCCTGCTTATTTTTTCTGAGTCCTATTTAATACTAGAGATCTTAATATCTGGAGATCCTTGCAGAAGCCAGGCGAGAAAGCAGAGAGATTACTTTAGGGCAGTTATGCACATGTATCCATGCCCATGGGGTCTTAAGAGAAGCAGCTGGGCATAGAGGAGGAAAAAAAAAGAGATTTAAGAACAATTGATAACCTCTGTTGATTCCTATTGCCATGTAAAGATTTTCAAAGGATTTTGTGTTGGTGAATCATCTCAGTATATGGCTAGCAGGATATATATTGAATTTTCCAGCATTAACACTCTATCTTCACTGTATCCTTACTGAGACATAATCATATCATGGGCAAAAGAACCAGAAGGCTAAGTTTTGTTAGGTCCAAAATGTAGAAGTGGGAGGAAGGAAACCAGTTAACTTTATTCCTATCTTTTGGGACTTTCAGGTAGTTACTGTGTTTTATAAATGGACCTATTTCCCCAACTCATTAGATACATCTCTGCTGGTATTTTAGGGAATCTACAATGGAAGAACACAAGAACAATCAGCTAGATTATGAGTAAGTAGTCATGATTATGCAAAGCCACATCCAAGGACCAAGGTATGAAGCATGTCTGCTGTTGATTCCTTTCTTCACCTTCTAGTCTCCCCCTTTCCTTCAGCTCCTATCCATCCATCCTTCACTGCACTCCGCCCCAAGGGCCCCATGCCCTCCTGAAGTGATAGCCATTGCAAATCCCCCATCCAAGCCAGCCCTTCCAAGGTAGGACTTTTCTTTTCCAAAATCATCCCTCATGCCTACTCAAAACAAAAGTCCTTCTGCCTCTCTATCTTATTTCCAGTTAATCATTTTAGAGAGAAACCAATTAAGTGGCACACAAGAAAATGAAAAATTTATTGAGAGGTTCTCGTGTGCCAGATAACTTCCTAGACTACACTAGCATTAAGTTACCATTATTTCATTCAAATTTACTTCAAAAAAATGTCTGCACTCTTGAAAGTGAATGCCTGGATCACTTCTGTGTGTGCTCAATGGAGTGACTCCCATAGTAGATTCTCAAGCTTTCTAGCAGGCAGTGGAGAAGTTTTCAGATGTGGGAGGTGGGAAAGACTGAAGCCCTAACTGGTGGTGGAAACTTCTTGTGGCTCTGCATAAAGCAGGGTCCAACCATAAATCATGTACCAGCTACCTGAATAAAAGTACGTGATAAAAGTGTATCGCATGAGCAGGTTTTGTGAACATTTTGAGAAACTATTTTCTCCAATGCAAAAGGCTATTTAAGGAAGCAAAACTTCTCCTGGAACCAAAGTGGAGGTGCACTATTATGCTGAGCACTTTGGACAAGAAAGGCTGGGTAAAACCTCCCTTGCTGAATGAGTTAAGAATTACTGAAACAGGGTGCCTGGGTGGCTCAGATGGTTAAGCATCTGCTTTCGGCTCAGGTCATGATCCCAGGGTCCTGGGATCGAGTCCCACATCGGGTTCCCTGCTCAGTGGGGAGCCTGCTTCTCCCTCCCTCTGCCTCTCTCTCTCTCCCTTTCTCTCATGAATAAATAAAATCTTAAAAAAAAATTACTGAAACAAATTGTAGAACATAATTAAGAAACGTAATTTCATAAAAATGAAAAAGGAAAAGTGCACTCCCAGAAATAGCCAGGCTAATGAGTTACATGTCTTCTAGATATCCTCTTTGGTACAAAGGTTATTGATCTTAAGATAACTGGCCCTTGTTCATTTTGGGGGCTGAGTTTATAGGTCAGAGAAAGTGGAAATCTTAAGATTGGTCCAGTCAAAGAGGAACATTAACAGTTTGAACATGGACCTTGAAAGGGATATGCAGAGAATAGATGAAGCAAATCAGGAACTTCTTCTCAAAATCCACGAGAAAGAAAACGAGATTCAGAGGTGAGTGTTGGGGCTTCATGAGGGATGTTTGTAATCCAAAGAACCGGGTGGAGGAAAAGAAACAAAATTGAATTTTCCAGCTTACACTGGCGACCTGTATCTTATATAACAAAAAAAAAAAATTCTTCTTTATTCTTTGGTGTTTGTCTATGGCTCAAACCCTGAAATATAGCAAGTTTCAAAAAGAATCCTAAGAGAATGAGTGATACTTACCTGAGCTGAAAGAACACTGGGGTGTCTGACATGGGAATCATGTGAATCTTGCTTGTCTTATCTTTAAAGTGATTCTTACCCTAAGGATCCAGGAAAGAAAGGATTTCCAACTTCAGATTTGTATTTATCATCAAAATACCCTTAAAACTGACATGTGTTTTATCAGTTTGAAGGCTGTCATTCCTCATAGTGTGTGCTTATGTTATCCAGGCTGGAAAATGAGATCACTCAGACCAGAGACTTGGCTGAAGATGAGGAGTGGGAGAAGGAGAATTGCACCGCAATGGAGAGGGAAAAAGCCTTGCAGGAGCTGGAAGAAGAAACAGCTAGACTCGTAAGCAAAAAGCAGGGAAGAGCCATTTGATAGGTTTTATTCCTCAGCACTGTCAGATAAAATAGTCTCTCCTTTTTACATACAAAGAATAGCCAATTCCAAAATCATGGCAGAATGTGTTCTTGCATGGGAAGGAGATGTGTGAAGGGTAAGGTTTCTCTGGTAATATTTAATATTACCAGGAAGCCCTGCATGTGGTGATCCCTGGTAAGTTGGTGTGTCCATGAGAACAAACCACAGGTCCTTTACCTGACAATATGCAGGAAGGTACAGTTACTGCAGGAAAATATTGCTGGGGTGAAATGGAGAACAATCAACTGAATAAAAGCAGATGATGGTGTGCAGATGCACACTTACACTCTGCTTCTTTCTCTCAACAGGATAGGAAGAATGAAACTCTGGTCCACAGTATAGCAGAACTTCAAAGAAAGGTGGGGTGGGGCTCTTGTGTGCCTGGGTGTCCCCAAGCAGCCCCAGTCATCAAAGAGGCAAGGGAGGGAAAATGAGGCCTGTGCTGGGGATGGGTACTACTCCTGCTCCACTCTCCTGAGGCTGAACCTCATGACCTAAATGCCATGGATTTTGCCTGCAAGTGTCAGGTGAAAAGAGTGCATAGGGTATTCCAGGTATTCAGTGATCCCATGGGTTCTTCATTCTATCACAAAGAAATGGATTCCAACAGACACTCTGTTGAAGGAATTGACTGGGACCCTCGTGGTGAGAGGTTAATTTTACTTGCACTTTACAAATACTTAATGCCAAAAAGTTCCCTCTTCTTTGTCCAGGTATTCCCTCTACCTCAACTCCTGGTCAAAACACAGTGGACTTCTTTATGATTACTCTACTTTCTGACCCATGCCTGCAGCCCTGAGTAATCCAGCATGGATTAGGGGGTTCAGGGAAGTACTCCTGCTTTGAGCGAACTCTAGTTTTGGTGGTCAAAACTAATGAGAAGATGGAGGTAGAATAAAGATGTTCCCAAAGACACCAAGTATCCACCAAGGGACCATCTCCTAGCAGCTTTAATCAAGGCCAAGTTCCTGACTCCACACACCAGAGAATGTCTTTATCTTCCATATTTTTTAATTTGATATTTTTTTATTTGAAATGTATTTTTTCTATTTGAACCCATAGCTTACAAGAAAATCACATAAGGCAACCAAGTGTGAACAAGACAATACAAAGGGATCCCCAGAAGAGTCAAAGGTAAACAAAAAAGCAATCTCAAATGGGTTTGGGCTGCATGACCAGGAAACAAGCCTTCAAGTGGAAACATTATCAAAGTTGGGACAAATTCTTCGTAGTTTCAGCCATGCCAGGCTTAAGCCTCAGCTGCTAAGTGCTGAATTCTCCTCTGCCCCTAGTAAGGAATTTCACTCTGAAGCCGTATATTTTGTTCTCTCTCCATCAAAAAGAGCAGAACACAAATGCACAAATGCCTATTAACATTAGAGGCAGTTGAAGTCCCTCATTTAAATCCTGGCCCCAGAGGTACTTAGAATGATATATGAAGGTGGGCAATTTAATCAGTCCCTCCCAGCCTCGGTTTGAAAACTGAATGAAATTGGGTATACAAAATACTATTTGGGGGAAGTTCTAAAACAATTTTAAGGTGATTATTTAAAACTCTGGCTGAAGCATATGTATGAATTCACAGAGGCAGAATTTAGATTTGTAAAGCTACTGTGTGCTAGGTAATTTACACACCCTGTCACTGACTCCAATCCAGAAAAGGATTCATTCAATTGGTCCTTCAAGTATATAGTGACCTCTCCTAAGTGCATCATATAGTGCTTAGCATTTTCCTAATTGTGTTCCAGAGCTAAGAACCTGAGCACAACCACAACCCATCTGATCAAAGATATAAGATTTAGACTTTTTTATTCAGAGAGCAGACAAAGTTCTTACTTGATCATTTCTGTAGGATTATCTCTTTGTCCTTGCCTTACCTAATTTCTCTTTTGCTTCTTTTTTTAAAAATGATGATGATGATGATGATGATGATGATGATTTAGTAATCTCTATATCCAACGTGGGATTCAAACTCATGACCCTGAGATCAAGAGTTGCATGCTCTTTTGACTGAGCCAGCCAGGTGTCCCCTTGTTTCTTTTTCTTAAATTGATAGTTATTTTTATATAATTCATATAAGAACAAATAAAGAGAGACTTTTTCAGTCTCTGTAAAGATAAAAATTATGTTTCACTACTTAACAGTATAATATATAATGGGCTTTTAAACAGATTGTCCCTATTTCTTAATCTCTCTTGCTTCTTAAATCCACATTTAAGCCAATACTTGACCCCACACTGTGTGCATGAAGCCTCTGAAGATATGGACACACTAAAAATAGAAAACGAAAGAAGAGAGCATTACTGCCCTATGTTCGGTTGGCCAAATTAGTGTTGATAGCCATAAAAAAAGAGGAAGTCCAAAGCCATCAAGTAAGCTTGCTTGGGCATGCCCATCCAGGAAACTTATTTGTAAAGAAAGAAATCTGGAAGCCTGTTTGTATCTCAGGAATAAATTCGAACTAGACTAGAAAGGAATGTGAAGCTCCTTGACTATGCTTGCCATAAAACTGCAGCAATCAGGAGATTGATTTTCTTCCTTCTTCTGCCCAAAACAAGTTTTGCTAACAGAAAGCCTGCCAGAAACTAGTGGTGACACTTTAAGTCTGGCTATGCTGGCCATGTCAGGTGAGCTGATTCCGACAGACTCTAGATAGAGAGTTCCTAGTACAACATTGGCCATTATTTTCCTGGCAGCACTCAGCCCAGCCCTAAAGAGTTCCAGAGTATTATCAACCCTTTGAATTACTCCCTTCTGCCCACCTATTTTGTAGAATTCTCAGGTGGTATCTCTAATTCTATGAAATATACATCATCTCTGTTGCTTCTGTTCCTCTTGCATGCTGGTGATCAGTTCAGTAGTTTAATAGGATGCCTGCCTCAACTCCTTGTGACTCAGACCACTGTCCTTAAAATACAGTCCTTAGGGGTGCTTGGTGGTTCAGTCAGGTAAGCATCTGACCCTTGGTTTCAGCTCAGGTCATGATCTCAGGGTCCTAGGATCAAGCCCCATGTCAGACTCCAGGCTGAGCGTGTAATCTGCTTGAGGATTCTCTCTCTCTCTCTCTGCCCCTCCCCCTATGTTCCCTCACTCTCTCTCTCTCTAAAATAAATAAATCTTTAAAATACAGCCCTTAGCAAGTGAAATAAGTCAGAGAAAAATAAATACCATATGATTTCACTCATATGTGGAATTTAAGAAACAAAACAGAGGAACATATGGGAGGGGGGGAAGAAAGAGAGAGAGAAACAAGCCATAAGAGACTCTTAACAATAGAGAACAAGGGGTGCCTGGGTGGCTCAGTCGCTAAGCATCTGCCTTCGGCTCAGGTCATGATCCCAGGGTCCTGGGATCGAGCCCTGCATCAGGCTCCCTGCTCCCTCTCCCACTCCCCCCTGCTTGTGTTCCCTCTCTCACTGTCTCTCTCTCTCTCTCTCTGTCAATTAAGTAAATAAATAAAATCTTTAAAAAAAAACAGAAAACAAACTGAGGGCTGATGAAGGGAAGTAGGTGGGGGATGGGCTAGATGGGGGATGGGCATTAAGGAAGACACTTGTTATGATGGGCACTGGATGTTGTATGTAAGTGATGAATCACTAAATTCTACTCCTGAAACCAATATTGCACTGTATGTTAACTAACCAGAATTTAAATAAAAATTTGAAAAAATACAATAAAAATTTTCTGTTTAAAATAAATAAAATACAGCCCTTAGCACGTTTGGCTCTTTGGCCCTAGATGTAATCGCCTGGAGGGGAAAGGAACTGTTAGAAGAGTCCAAACGTGAAATAATGGTAGCTAGATGAGAGTGGGAATAATAGAACTGAAAAGGGAAGGGAGGAAAGACTGCAATATGTCCCCTCTGCCTATAAGATAAATCCTAAATGCATCTACTCCTCTCTATCTACTAGTACTATAACTACCACCCTTTTGCAAGCCACCCTAAACCCTCACCTGGAGGCTAAAGTAGACTCCTAACTAGTCCTCTTGCTTTTACACTTACCCCAAAACAATATACCTTCCACACATAGAAAAAAACTCTTCTTTAGAAAGAACACAAACCAGATTGTGTCTTTACAACTTCAAGCTCTCACCTGGCTTCTCACTGCAATTAGAATAAAGAATCAAGGGGCATCTGGGTGGCTCAGTCGGTTAAGCATCTGCCTTCGGCTCAGGTCGTGACCCCGGGGTCCTGGGATCGAGCCCCACATCGGGCTCCTTGCTCCTTGGGGAGCCTGCTTCTCCCTCTCCCTCTGCCTGCCGCTCCCCCTGCTTGTGCTCTCTCTCTCTCTTTCTCTCTGCCAAATAAACAAATAAAATCTTAAAAAAAAAAAAAAGAATAAAGAAGCAAACTCTCTAGAAGCTATAAGGCCCTACATAATCTCATACGTGGCTACCTTTCTCCACCCCATTTCATTCTTACCAATCTCCCCTATGTTCCTGCCACATAACTTCTTCATACACACCGAATTTGTGCTATTTCACAGTCTTGGTCCTTGCTGGAAACTCTGCGTGGGAAATATTTCTTCCAGATCTCCATTTGGCTAATATTTATCATTTAAATTCAACTCAAGAGTCATCTCACCTCAAGTTTGACTCCCCTCCATAAAAGACATCTGAAATTGGTCCTGAGGTACTTGAACCACCTGTAAGATAACCCTTAAGATCCCATTTCAGAATGGAATCCTGCTTTTGCCTGGCTGAGTTATCAGTCTCCTTCCCTTTCTATAGGCCAAGTTACAACAGCTGGAAGCTTCCTGTGCAGACCAAGAGAAAGAGCTAGCCAAGGTAATGACAATAACTTCAATGTTACTCCTCCCAAAGGAAGGAAATCTTGATCCTTGGTCACACAAATTAAAGGAATGTATTAGGGCGCCTGGGTGGCTCAGTTGGTTGGGCGACTGCCTTTGGCTCAGGTCATGATCCTGGAGTCCCGGGATCGAGTCCCACATCGGGCTCCCTGCTCAGCGGGGAGTCTGCTTCTCCCTCTGACCCTCTTCCCTCTCGTGCTCTCTCTCATTCTCTCTCTCTCAAATAAATAAATAAAATCTTTAAAAAAAAAAAAATAAAGGAATGTATTAGACTGTGTGAATACAGTCCCCCAGATCACCTTCTCTTTAACATTTTTTATAGGATACCTTCCATCTATATCTTCAATAAATTAGTATCTATTTTTCTCCCAACTGTCCCAAATAATTCTCACTGGGACTATAAAATACAGCTTGTTTATCCTTAAAAAAAGATATGAGTTTGTATGTACAGCAAATGCATATTTAGAACAATTAGAAAAGCACATTTAGGGCCCGGTACACTGCTGTTCTTATAGCAATTTACTAAGCATATTCTAAAACTGAATTTTGGCTTCCCAGGTAATGGAAGATTATGCATTTGTGGCCCAGCTCTGTGAAGATCAGGCCCTCTGCATAAAGGTACAGTTCCTCAGTAAAGGGATAGCAATGGGTTTGTTAAGGTATAGAATGAAATGAAACCAGGCTTTTCAAAGAACAACAATTTTAATTCTTCAAGGTGGCGTTACAAAAGCCTTTAGGGAGGACGACACTCTACCACCAGAATCATTCTATTAGTGCCCTAGTCTCCCAAGCTCTGTGCTCTTAAATTAATAATGAGCACTTTTTCCTATTTATAATCCCAATAACTGCAGGCACCTCCCCAGTGGTGACATGCAGTGAGAGATCTGGAGTAGTGGAAGGCTGGGGGACTGGGAAAGGAGACAAAATGGCAGTGGGAATACCAACTATTCACATGACAATGTAGTGTAATACATGCTTATTATGATCAGAAAGAGTATAAAGCTTCTGGCTAGTAACTGTGGTTTCTTTTATTTCTCTATGAAGAAGTACCAGGAAACTTTGAGGAAAATAGAAGAAGAACTAGAGACTCGGTTCCTTGAGAGAGAAGTGTGAGCTTTGGCAAACAAAGGAACATCCTGGTTATAGTGGTAACTCCATCTCAGCCTGGGTCAGAGCAAACTTTTCTCTGACCAATTCCTATTTGGAACTGAGTGAGCCCCAACACCATATAACGTTCCCCTCTTTTAGCGAGCTATTAGATCCCTACTAAACCACACCCATTTTAAAATTCAAGTCCTCCCATCTTTCTTAAAAGACTGCAGACATACACCTTCCTTCATAATTTTATCACATTACCAGTTACTTGGGTTTATATTAAGGGCAGGAACATGTGCTTTAAAAAGGGTTTAGTGGTCTGGCACGTTGATAAAAAGGGCACTCCTTAAATTTTACAAAAAAGAACTAAAATTAATATCATCCTCACTTCCCCAAAATATATAGAAACTCAACCATATGCAATAGACGTGAAACTAATCTCTAGATACAAACTAGGGCTATCATATTATGAAACCAAACTATATACTATATGAAACTATGAACATTAAAAATTAGAATAGAGATAGCCCCCCTCCAAAAAATTAATCCTTGAATTTATCAAAAGAGTCTAAATAGTGAGAAACTAAAGCCAAAAAACCTCACTTTCATTTCCTGACCCTCTTTAGAAGTTAAATCTTAAATCAGTTGGGGAGTATTTCCATTTATTAAATATTTTAGAATCTTAGGATCAAGAAAAAAAGACCTAAACTGCACATAGCCTCTAAGTAGACTCAGTCCACACTGTGGCCTGGAGGCCAGGATACCAGGACTTGGAGGTCCTTGCCCCATTAAAGGACACCTTCCATCAAAAACTAATGATGTAATGTATGGTGGTTAACATAACAATAAAAAAATTATTAAAAAAAAAAAAAAAGGACACCTTCAACTCTCGTGAGATCCATCCTGAACATTAAGTATGGCTTCACTGCTAAGCCAAGATTTTAGAATGGGGCTGCCCAATGGAACTTTCTGTGCTATCCAATATGTAGCCACTAGCCACCTATTGAATACTTGAAAGATGACTATTGTGACTGAGGAACTGATTATTTTATTGTCATTAAATGTAAACAGTTACATATAGTCACTGGCTATAATAGTGGACAGTATAGCTTTAGAATATAAAACTGTTTTTAAATAACCGTGATGTAGTATAAATATTTACATGTACTTTATTCAGTCCCTATCTTGGTTCTTTTTCCCCTAGATCAAAAGTCTTGAGCATGAATTCTGTAAGAAAAGAGTCTAACAGCCAAAATAACAAGGTAAGCATTTCACTCCACCTTCAGCTTCTCTCGGTGTCATTGCCTTCAAGGGAGTTTCCAAAACACTATCAGCCACCAAACACATACCAATCTTTCCATGTGCATTTTCCAAGAATAGTACCAGACATAATTCTAAAGCATTTCAACCCTAAACACACAAACAAAGAAGATGCTATGGAACAACAGTTTTTCCTTTCTCGGTGCCATGCAAATGATGTGTTCTCAAAGGAACTAGCTTAAGACCTCACAGAGTTCAGGATGGAAGCAAGAAGGAACATTAACTGAGGGTACGCTGTATGGAGAGAAGGCCAATACAGGACACATATACCACTCCTCCCATCTCCCAGAATCACAGTGCTCTTTCCTGGTGATCCCAACATGGTCCCAAATCTCTCACTACACAGAGCACCAGGGCGTCTATCACCATCTAATCAGTTTGGCCCATGAGTTAAAACATGAGAAGTCATTACTTCTTTATGATACAGCTTCAGTGTCTGTTCATATTTAACACCATGATGTCATTAGTATATATGTAGAAGTCTAAAGGATACAGAATTGGATGTAGAGCACCAGGCCTCTTGGCCTGCTTGGCATCTTGGGGCAGCAAGTACATAGGGCAAAAAGATAAACTTTTGTCAGACTTTAATTTTGTAATTTTTATTGGCTTTAGAGCCAAAATTGACATTCACCAGAAATTTTATCATTGAGATACATGGTCTTCATAATGTCAGAAAAAAGTAAGTCATCTCTCCCTAAAAAGCAAATATCAACAATCAACCATTGTCCTTGGGGTCATCCAGATGTTTGGATATATATTAGGCCACGTTCACAGTGACCATGGTTCCCATTGGGAAGTCATGGGTCACTCTGGTCCCAACCTTCCATATTTTACAAGTCATTCTGGTCCCAGCCTTGCATATTATACAACAACAAAACTCTTGAAATTAATTGGACCCCACCTCTCTAGAACCAAGCTTGGCATGCTCCCTGATATATCCCACCGTCTATCCCCGAATGACTCATCAAAGTATTCCTTCTAGCAGACTTGTCTTCATCAAGATTACCAAAGTCCCATGATGGTTCGATGACCTATGATGTTTGAGCAATCTTTACAGAGTCTGCCTGAGCAACTGACCAGTTGACATGCTGCTTAAACTCACTCAAGTTATAGAACCAAATTTGTAACCCAGAAAGTTTCTTTCTAATTATAATTCTGTGAGTGTCATTTTCACGATTTTAAAATGTGACTGTAATTCCGCCATTTTTTATCTCACAAGGAAGCTAAAAGGAAAATGAAATAACTGAGAAAATATTTTGGAAGAGATGCCACAGAAATCCAGGATATAGCCTCATCTTTACATTTTTTATAGCTTTTAAAACTTTTCTTAGAATATATTTGTGTGATTTTCATAACCTATAAACTTCTTTAAGGGTTACTGGTTAAGTAGGAGGTAAGAGCATAGTTGAAAGAGCCCTGAATGCATATTTGAAGGACCCAGGTTCCAAGCCTGGCTCTGCCACTTATTAATTGTATGACATACCTTACCTTTTTGCAGCTTCAATTATTCCTATCAACATATAAAAAAGTGATACAAAATTACACACACACATACACAAAGACGCACATATATATATATATGGTTGTCTTTAAAAATTCCATCTGTTTATGCATATAAAAAATTGTAAGATATTATCTAAATATAACATTAATGGCTCACTGAATATTATTTGACAGTGATGATAGCTTCCAGAAATTGCTATTTATCCATGTCCTTTCTTCTCCCAGGATCATTCTCTCCAAAAGAAGGGAACATGGTTCTGCAAAAGGTAAGTAGTCATCTTTCAGTAAACTTCCTGGAAAACTGGGAGTTCCACTTAGCCATCCTGGCAGATAACAAAGTCTAGACAAGGAGACCCTTGTATACATACACACACCCAGAGTGAAGTCAAAAAACTAGTGTCATCGATGACTATGTTTCTCAGTTCTAATGTATGACTTCCTTGTCCAAAGGCAATTCCTTTTTTTTTTTTTTTTAAGATTTTTATTTAAAAATCACACAGAGAGAGACACAGCGAGAGAGGGAACACAAGCAGGGGGAGTGGGAGAGGGAGAAACAGGCTTCCGGCCGAGCAGGGAGTCCGATGTGGGGCTCGATCCCAGGACCCCGGGATCATGACCCGAGCCAAAGGCAGACGCCCAACGACTGAACCACCCAGGTGCCCCCAAAGGCAATTCCTAATCTCAACTTTCCAATCTTAGAAGTGAATAGCCTAGTAGTAATCAGAAATAGGAATTTTATCACCTAAGAGAAACGTGGCAAACTGATACTTACTCCCTCTTCCCTTTAACAATTTGAATTAGCTTGATGGATCTTGTTCTCCAATAACATCAGTAGATTATGAATGGGAGGATCCTTTTGTGGTTCGTAAGATGATGAATAGGGTTTTCACACTATTGTGTCAGATGTGCCTCCCTCAAATATTGTTACGATGTCAACATGTTACATTAGAAATAGTAGAGAACTTGTAAATGCACATATTCGCCTAATAGCAAATAAGACAGAAAATGATTGTGAAAGAGATTGTACCCAACAGTACCCAGCCCATAATAATTGCTCAAAAATACCTGTTGAACTGAATAAGAGCTCAAGATTCAAACAACCAAGTGGATATTAGTCCTGAGGGAATCACTGTGATAGCAAAATAAAATTGGGATTCAATGAAGCCCCTGCATTTCCAAGAAAAGGTCAGATTATGTTCAATATAATTTAAGAAGGCATAGAGAAATATATATTCAAAGTGGTATGAAATATGATTTAGAAAGAGTTCCATCAAAATGGTTAACATAAAATTATTGAGGCTTAAATGTCACCTCCAATTGTCTGGAAAACCTGCTTATGGGGAATACCCCTTCATACCAGATAAGTGAAGTGTTACATATTTGGATATCCCAAAATACAATGTTCCCAGAACAGCTAGCAGAATTTCCCTAGAATTCCCAGGCTGCCTTAGCCTATAATTTGACACCAGTGCCTCACATGGAACTGCCCATGTGGGTTCCCAGGATAAGAACTGCCTGCCTTGAAAGAGAGCTGGTATCCTGAAGAGAACCTGACAACATCCTAAAAGTCTAGCTCATCATATCAAACTACAAAGATCTCTCCTCTTGCTTTGCTCCAATATCCTATGGGGCACTGGTATATTGGGCACTGATTCAAGAGATAAGAAAGCTGGATTATTCCTAAGATTTTCTCTGGGAATGTCATCCCAAAAATGTCATCTCAGAACTTTCTCATGAATACTGTATTTAGCTTTAAGGAGAATACTAGGAAGAGGTTTGTAAAGGGTTTCTGATTCTAATTCTGACCAAGATGCTGTACTATAACGGACCCTGCCTCCTGTCACCAAGATCAATTCTAGAGAAAAACTTAAGGGAACCGATGGGGAAGGGGCTGTTTTTCACTGGTAGGTGGAGGTAGGTAGTGAATTTGTTCTACAGCAGGCGGCAGCCCAGCACAGCTGGATAAGGGTAATACAGGAAAGGAAAAAGTGGAGATTTGCTTGTGCAAATCATAGTAAAACCCAAGGCCAAAATAATTCATCAGTTAAAAAAGAAATCAGGACCACCATAGGGGAATTTATAGAAGTTAGGAAACATTAAAAATAACATGAATGAAAGAAGAGAAATACCATAATCATGGACAGAAAGCCATAATATCATAAATATATCATTTCTCTTCAAATGACTCACTTCGGTTCCAACCAAACTGCCCAAAAGGTTTTCATTACATTTAATACAATTATTCTAAAATATACTATATATAGAAGAATAGAGTCAAAAATAACCTGGACAATTTTAAAGAAGAGCAAGGAGGGGGAATGTGCCCTTCCAGATATCAGGACTTTCTATGAAGTTGCAGTAATTACAATAGTGTGATACTGTCACAGGAACAAGAAAATCAACCATGAAATAGAAACAGTGCATATATAGAACTTTGACATGTGACATGTAACAGTGATTGTATATCAGAGAGGAAGGAAAAACTGTTCAATAAAAATGGTAGGGGGTAAAAAAAAAACGGTTATCCAGGTGAGAAAAAAAAATGAGATTGGATCACTACTATACAGCATATTTAAAAAGCGAGGCCAGATGTGTTAAGGACTAAATGTCAAAAAAAAAAAAATCTTGAAAATTTGGCATCAGTTATCTACTGCCAAATAAAAAATGGTCCCAAAACTTAGTGGCTTCAAGCAACAAACATTTATCTCACAGTTTCTGTGGATTAGAAATCTGTGAGCCACTCAGCTGGGTGGTTCTAGTTCATGGTCTGTTACCCGGTTGCAATTAAGATGCCGGCCAAAGTTAGAGTCAGTGGAAGGCTTGGCTGGGCTGGAGGATCTATTTCCACGGTATCTTACTTGTACATCTGGCAAATTTTGCAGCTTGTTGGCAGGAGATTTCAGCTCCTCCTCACATGGAGCTCGCCACAGGGCTGCTTGTGTATCCTCACGGCATGACAGCTGGCTTCCTCCTGAGAGTAAGGAGCAAACTGCAATGCCTTTAGTACGTAATCCAGGAAGCCACTCACTGTCACTTCCATGATACTCTATTCTTTAGAACCAAGTCATTAAGTCCTGGCCACACTCTAAGGAAGAAGAGTCTCTTGAAGTGCGTGATACCAAAGAATGTGTGGACATATTTTAAACTACCATAAACTGTTAGTAGAAAACAGGAGCATCTTTTAGGCCTTGGTGTAGGGAACAGTTCTTTAAATAAGACACAAAAAGCATTGATTCTAATTAAAGATAAACTAGACTTTATTAAAATTAATAACTTTTGTTCTTTAACACCTTAGAGCTAGTGAAAGTTATAAAGTAGAGAAAAGATATTCATAGTACACACAATCGGAAAGGACTGATATCAAGAACATATAAAGAACTTCTACAAATCAATAAGACTACCCCAAACAACCTAATAGATATATGGGCAAGACGAAACACATAAGATCTGTGAACAGAACAGATGTTCAGCATCATTGTTCACCAGGGAAATGCAAATTAAGACCATTACTTTACACCCATTTGGCAAAATTTTTAAAATCTGATGCTATCGAGTGTTGGAAAAAATATGGACTCACAGAAACACATACCCTGCTGATGGTTAGAAATTGTTGTAAATGCTTTGGAAAACAAGTTGGAAACAAAAATAAAACAAAAGATAAAAGAACAAGATAATTTCA